GCCTGGGTAGCTCAGTCAGTTAACCAACCAACTTTGGCTCAGGTCATGATCTCACGGCCTGTAAGTTCAAGCCGCACAGTGGACTCTGCTAACACCTCAGAGCCTGGAGCTTGCTTCGGATTCTGTGTGTGTGTGTCTCTCTCTGTCCTCCCCTACTCGAATGCGCACGCATGCGCTCCCTGTCTCAAAAATAAACAAACACTAAAAAATGAAAAAAGAGGGGCGCCTGGGTGGCTCAGTCAGTTAAGCATCTGACTTCGGCTCAGGTCATGATCTCACAGTTCGTGGGTTTGAGCCCCGTGTCGGGCTCTGTGCTGACAGGTAGCTCAGAGCCTGGAGTCTGCTTCAGATTCTGTACCTCCCTCTCTCTCTGACCCTCTCCTGCTCATACTGTCTCTCTCTCAGAAATAAATAAAACATAGGAAGGAAGGAAGAAAGGAAGGAAGGAAGGAAGGAAGGAAGGAAGGAAGGAAGGAAGGAAGGAAGGAAGGAGCATCTAGGTGGTTCAGTTAGTTGAGCTTCTGACTTTAGCTAAGGTCATGATTCACGGTCCATCAGTTTGAGTCCCACATCAGGCTCTGTGCTGACGACTAGGGGCCTGAAGCTGGTTTCAGACTCTGTGTCTCCCCCTCTCTCTGCCCTTCCCCTGCTTGCTCTCTCTCTCTCTCTCAAAAAGAAATAAACATTAAAATTTTTTTTTAAAAAGGAAAATACATTCTCTTGAAAAATGTATTTTTCTGAAATATAAAATATAATAAATATAAAATGAAATTTAGTGAGAAAAGTGACATTGTTTTACATTTCCTCAAATCTCTTTAATATCTAGCTTAATGAAAGACAACTCGATTCTCATTTGTGCTTCCGTATTTAATCGGTTACAATATGTTGTTTTGACTGAAGTACATGAAGAAAGCCCATGTTCAAGCAGGTATGCAGATGGAAAAAAGAGGAATGTGACTCCCTGAAAGTTTTATGGGGCCACAGAAGTCCTGTTTTTTCTTTTTTTTAATCAAACCACTCCTCCATAAAAAATCTGAAAATACTCCTTCCAGTATATGAATATTTATTTAAATATATATTCTACCAATATTACTATTTCTATTATAAAGTATATATACACAAAATACTTAAGATAATATGAAGACTAAAAATGAGTAAAAGTTCTAATGATTTTTTCAATATTCCAATGTACTGACTTGAGTACAAACTTACTTTGGGGACTACTGGATTAGGAGAGAGAGATACATATACAAAGAAACATCTACAAGAGAATGCTAAAGAGCTCTAAAGATTAGACTGTTATTTTGTCAGGCAGAAAGAAAGCAGTTTTATATTCTGAAAAAAAACATTACCTCCATGGTAATTAAATCTTTTTTGTTTTGTTCTAGTTTTAAAATTGAGTGTAGAACTTTTCCTTTTCACCTCTAAATGAGTTTATTTTCTGATAATAATAGCATTTATTACAGAAAGTTCAGAAAATACAGATAAATGAAAATTACTATAATCTTTATATGCAGAAATAATTACTATCAACATTTATTAATAGTTATACATATATGCAAATAACTTTATTTACATATACTATATAGTTATTTCCATACAAACTTGGATAATACTATACATACTGATTACTCTATTTTTTAACAATGTATTCACAACATCTTTTCACCACATTATTATATTTAAGATTTTATTTTTAAGTAATCTCTACATCCAACGTGGGGCTTGAACTCACAACCTTGTGATTAAGAGTCACATATTCTACTGACTGAGCCAGCCATGCATCCCATGACATTATTTTTTACATCAATATTTTAAAAGATTCATTGTGTTTCATGGAAGAAATCTACTATAACTTAACCAATCCTCTACAATAGGACATTTAGACAGTTTCCAATCTATGAAGAAAGGTTATAATAAATATTCTTGTATTTTTTGTGTGGTCTACACAGAATCTTTGTGTTAGTCCATGAAGAACTCTTTGGATAATTACACATAAATGGTATTGCTGAGCCAAACTGTATGTTCATATTTAAGTCTATTACCGGACTGCCCTGGAGAGATTTATTTAACGGTTTTTATATTTGCCTACTTGATAGGTTAAAATCTGCTTTTTACTTTTGTTTTAAATTATCCACTGTATCGGAGTACCTGGCTTGCTCAGTCTGTAGAGCATGCGACTCCTCATCTTGGGTTTATGAGTTCGAGCCCCACATTGGGTATAGAGATTATTTTTTTAAAAAATCTTTAGGAAACTAATTTGACAATAAACTATTTGTAAAAATAAATAAATAAATAAATAAATAAATAAATAAATGGACTACTTGTGGGGATGAGCACTGAGTGTTATGTGGAAACTAATTTGACAATAAACTATTTGTAAAAAAAATTTTTAAAAAATAAAAAATAAAAAATCTTTAAAAAAATTTATCTACTATATTTTCGTAAATGCATTCTAGTAACTGGCCATTTCTTTCCTTTAGAATCACTTGGTTTTTTTGTCTACTTCATTTCTTCTATAGATCTGGCACTTTGCTAATCTACAGTTACTTAGTGTGCTACTCTAAATGTTCTTCATTCATTCCCCAAATACTTATCAATATGCGCTAAGTATTATTCACTACTATCTCAGTTTGTGACCTAAACATTCTAATGGTAAAGCTGAAATTTAAATGAAAGTGTTGGGGGCACCTGCATGGCTCAGGTGAGGTGGTTAAACATCCAACTCTTGGTTTTGGCTCAGGTCATGATCTCATGGTTTGTGAGTTTGAGCCCTGAATCGGACTCCGTGCAGACAGTGCAGAAGCTGCTTGGAATTCTCTCTCCCTTTCTCTCTGTCCCTCCCCTGCTCATGCTCACTCATTCTCTCTCAAAATAAATAAATAAACCTGAAAAAAATAAATAAATAAATGAAAGGCTTGGAGGCAGAGTAGGATTTCCTAAGAACAGTAAGTATAAAACATGTTATGTAATAAGCAGTCTAAGAGAATTCTCATAATCTTTACCCCACAAATAGGACTGTCCATGATAGTTTTGGTAGCTACTTGATTAATAAGAGCAAAGAATACAGAAAACAAAGAGGGGAAAAAACCCTGAAATTTCATGATTTGATGCTAGTATTCCTCTAATATTTTAGCTACTAATTAAGGGTACTGGCAAACAAATAATGAATAAATTGATCTATTAAAAATATGACAACAATATAACAACGCTGAAAATCTGTATGATCTAATGTTACCTTTAAAAAACCAACAACAATGGGGCACCTGGCTGGCTCAGTCAGAAGGGCACGGGACTCTTGATCTCAGGGTCGTGAGTTCAAGCCCCACAATGGGTGTAGAGATAACTAAATACTAAACTTAAAAAACTAACCAACAATAAAATCACATGTGAATAGACAACAGGAGTAGACAAAACTGCTGTATCAAGAAAATAGTTTCATAATACTTTTATTTACAAATTTTTCAAACAATGTAAGGAAAACATCAGGTAATTATACATTTCTAACTAGAAACATTAATTATCCCAATTTTTTTTCCCTAACAATGTTTATTTTTGAGAGAGAGAGAGATAAAGAGACAGAGCAAACAAGGGAGGGGCAGAGAAAGAGTGAGACACAGAATCTGAAGCAGGCTCCAGGCTCTGAGCTGTCAGCACAGAGCCCGATGCAGGGATCGAACTCATGAGCTGCAGGATCATGACCTGAGCCTAAGTCCAACCCTTAACCAAGTGAGCCAACCAGGTGCCCCAATTATCTCAAATTTTCTTTCTCTCTTATAAAATTATAATAAAACTACTTGACAGTGAGGATCTAATTTTTAAAAGTGGCTCCTAGGTTATGTCCAGGTTCAATCAATTTCAAGTACATTCCTACTTCATAATACTAAACATTTTATAGCTCTGTGGTTTCCCACATAAACTCACATATACTATCTCACACCGTCAAGCCTGTCTATTACTATCTACATTTTATAGATAAGGAAACTAAGGCAATTCTAGGTTCAAATATTTACCCAAAATCAAAAGACTTGTATAGTAAATCAGTACAACTTGGTTTTTCTGACTCTTACTACATGTAGCATTCTACTAAACTTTATTGGCCCCTATACAAAAAAAAAAAATGTAATTAATGGTCTTAACTAATAATTAGATTATGAATAACCAAAAATGAATCATTCTAAATTTAATATACTTTTCTTACAAAAATCAGTACCTGTACAAGTCAGCTTGAACAAGATAGCTAACAAGTGCTAAACAAAAAAACTGTTAACAGATCTCTTAATCATAAAATTCTACATAATCAAGATTTACATTATAGCATTTAAAACATGCAAAATCTTTTATATAAACTGTGTCACCTAAGCAAAATTTTCCTAAGCATTTCTAAAGGTGAGAATTTCAAGACTTAGTAAGCATAGGGTATTAAAAACATTAATTTTTTTAAAAATCATTTTCACTCACATGAATTGACTAATATTTTTTTCTGAAACAAATGTGATTTTACCTCTGATTCCCATATATTAAGTATGAGTTGACTTTGAACTCAAAAACTGCATATCGGATTTTAAAAATATGCACAGCAGTAGCAACAGTCAAATTAATATGATGCTACCAGTGTAGGACCTGAAAGGTCAAATCCCACCAAATACTCTACCAGACGGTAAGGATGAGAAGGCTAATTATGATGGAACTAACTGTGATACAGCCTAGGCCTTCTTGGTACAAACCATATATATGTCGGGCTCGGGCCCAAACATGATTTATCTCAGTCTTCACAGCAACAGTGACAAATTTATCACTATTATATCAAAAGAGAAACTGAAACTTAAATCATTAGCTAATTTGCTTAAGTCACAGAGCTAATAATTAGTGTAACAAGGTGTGAACCTTAACAGTATTTATTTTGTTAAATAAGTTAAATTTATTAAATAAATTGAAATGTGTCCAATTTACAAGATCAACTATTTTTAAAACAGGAAGATAAATATTTAACCACTTACCTCTTCAGGCAGTTCACTGTACATGGTTTCAGAGGTAGACAATAAAAATATAGGTGAAAATGATGGTATATCTTGTAGCAATGTCAGAAAAGTTGCTCTCACAGTTTCACTGACAGCTTCCCACCAATCACCAATGTGAGGCATGTAAACAATACTAGGTACTGTTCTTCGAGCTTCACGAAAAATCTAATTAAGAAAAGAACTAGCATTAAAAATACAAATTGAAAAAAATTCAAATTGCTATTATTCTAAAGTTTACTCAGTAACCCCCAAATACATGAAATGTGTCAGGTTTTTTACTGTAATTATTCTCAGCTCAAATATTTAAGCTGTTCACAATGTGATATACAAGCCTCACATAGAGCTTCTATCTCCCTTGCTCCACCTAAAAAAAGGTCTTTTATTTTTTGCCATTTTATTATTTCTGTTCAGTACTTAATAATATAAAGGTATCAAGTTGCTCCACTTATCTATCATGTAACGATAACAAAGCAAAACACCATTATAAAATATGCTGCAAATAAAGAGATAAACATGCACCGATATGTCACCCATGTCATAATGATCTCAGTAAGCACAAAGAAGAAAAGGAAGACATAGTTTCCATGTTTGTGCACATTCCCTAAAATCACTAAATACATGGATTAAATATTTTCACCACGATGTATCACCCTAGAGCTTAAAATTATGAACTACCTACTGACCACTTCTTTACCTCCTATTACCTTAATTCAATCCTCCATAAAGTAGTCACAAAATAACCTCACATCACTAAAGAGCAATAAATAAATTCGCAAAAAGCTCTGCGAAACTCCCATTGTCAGAAAATACAAAATAAAGTTTCCTCAGGTGTGAAAAAGAACCCTAACCATAGCTTCAGTCACACTCTGCCAACACACGCCAGGAAGGACAAGGTTGGCTATTAGTAAGCTGCCAAGCAGAAGTACTGCCCTTTACATAGATGTCAACAACAGCTCAATGGCCCACCAACAAATTCTTGTGGGATGATATGGCATCTCTTCAATACTTCTAACAAATGAAAGAATAAATGTAAAAATCTTTCTCCAATTTATTTAAGAATTACATTCTAAAATTCTCTATTTCCCTTTATCTTAAACACGTTTCAATTAAGCTGTATAATGTGCAAGACAGAAAAATAATGATCTACTATTTAAGATGATTAGGATTATCAGAAATGTTCCTGAGAATCAAAATGATTATTTTTCTTTAATGAATAAGCCTATCACTTGCATGAATTTTTCAAATGCTACATTTTATAAAGCTTTCAACATTCTGTGTAAAATAAAATATGTTGCCAATTTAATAAACCAGATGGAAGACGCTCAAATAAAAAATTTCCCCCAAAGTGGAAATGTAGATGTTATGATCACTCACATCAAAAGTAATATTTGCTCCTTCCCTTCCTTTAATATTTGCATATCCACCAATCCAGAACAGTTGTACAGTACAACTCCAGGACTCTCAAATTTTGACCTTTTCTGCAAACACGCACCCTCTTATCCTGGATCTTGAAAATCCAAGGATTATTGTTTTCCAAAGTTCTTGTAGAAGATTCATAAGAGAAAAACAAGCATAAATATTGGCAAAAGGAAGGAACCACACAGGAGCACAAAGGCAAGTGAGGCATTTAATTTCCATCCCCCCCAAAAAGAAAAAAAAATTGCTACATGCCACCCAATCAGGGATGGTATGTGAAGACAGGAACCGATGCCTTTTGTCTTTCTGACTCCCATTCTGTGCTGGTAAAACTAGGGAGAGTCGGCAGGGAGAGAATGGTGATTACATGAAAAAAGACTAATGAGCTTATAAAACCTTACTGAGAAACCTCACAAAACTAACCACCTAAGTCAGCCATGCAAGTTTACCACATGCCCAAGGAGAGATGAGAAAACATGCCTTTAAAAAAATAAAATGTAGCCTCTCGTTCTAGTACTTGTAGGTTAGGTTTTCTAGAAACAGTTGTTGAGAACTTCTAATTGCTAATAAGTATCAAAGAGTAAGGGCAAAGCAACAAAGGGTTAAGTGATAAAAACTTCATATAGAGCCAGAAATTAAATAATGCAGTACTATAGGTATTTTAACTTATTTGCAAGGCTGAACTCGAAACATAAGCATCACCAACTCTAAAAGAGTTGAGGGGTTTTGTTTCTCTATTTCTTTCCTCTCTTCATCTAATTCTCCACAAATTAACAAATTGAACAGGATAGTCTATTGACCTTTTTCTAAAGACTTTAGGAAAGTATCTTTATCTTTTAAAAAATTATATTTGAAAACCTAAAGGGGGAAAAATCAGAAAGAAAAAATCTAAGACAAATACAGAAAAATAAAAAGGCTTAGGCATTCTGGTCCATGAATGTATAATTACCTAATTTTACAATTAATCTAACTATATGCAATATTAATACCCAGGGGCTATTTTCACAATTTTTCTCCTAAGCCTTTACAGGAAAAAATATCTGTAATTTCTAGGAAAATTTAAAAGCAAGTTTAGTTTTAATTCCTTACTCCATGTGATCTCAGAATACTTAAACTTTCATACTTCTTTAAATACATAGCCAACCTGTTCTAATTCTCCACTTTTTATAATAAAAATTCAAAAAGAATGGTCTAAAAACAGTATTTTAAAATTCAGGAAAAAAAGTTTAATCCTTTCCTGATTTTTCCATCATGTAAAAACCGCTCTTCAGCAGTTTGCTGGTAACTTTTAAAGTTGTAAAATAAGATACACTCCCTGAAATCAATTAACCAGATTCAGAGTAGAAAAATAAAGCCTAGTTTTAGTGAAGCGGCTGTCTTCGGAACAAGTGATGCCATTTGATAACTAGAAAAATACTCACCTACAGGGTGTCTTGGATTGGTGGATGTGCAAGGTGTAGTAGAAAACAGAAAAACTGTTATAGAGAAAAAAAGACAGTAGGCCAAATTACTGAACCAACCGTTCAAAACACCTCTGACATGACCAGCACTCTTGCACAAATAAAATGAACAAACACCAGTGTATGTGAACTGTTCATTTTGATTCTTTAAACAATATATTCTACTTCCTTCTGGCTTCTTCCTGCCCCAGACATCATGGTCCCTTATGTAACTGTTTTAAAAGTTTCTTTATTAAAAAAAAAAAAGTACAAACTACTTACTATGAATATTAAAGATATGAAAGAGAAAAATCAGGCCACTGAAGTTAAAAGTATCTATACAAAGAAGCACTACTTATATAAACTGAACCTATGTTTATAAAAGTTCTTATCAGGTCAAAAGCTAAACTTTCAAGTCAGTATTTCAGCCAGCAAACTAAAGTATGTGGTGTGTGAAATTTTACTGTATTTTAAAAATTATGACTATACAGCCCATAACAAGCCATTTTCTTGAGAAACTGAAAACGCGAGTAATTTTAATCACAAATGTAAATGAAGCAGAAAGCTCACGCCAGCACAGCTTTCACTTTCCTAAAAGGGACTTTGTAAGAAAGAGGGAAACAATTCTGTCATCAATAAACTTCCAGAATTTGTCTTGGTCATGTTATAGTACTAGGAATGTGCTAAAATTGTAAAACAGAGGTAAAACAAATATCTTGAGGACTAAAATATTCTTGATTTTTATAAAAATTAAAAAGCACTATTACTATACACTATTAAGTATTTAATTCCTTATACCATACTATCATAAATATTAACAAATAATGTATCTGCATTACTAATAACTTAATGTCATATCTATCACTTTACTCCATTTATATTCTATTTACCTAAGATTTACGGAGCATCTCTGTGAAAAGGAGGCAGTGTCTAGGTCAGGATGCAGGAAATAAAGTGCTCAATTTCTTTATAAGCATACAAAACCAGCCTATTATAAAACATAACTATACTAGACTTTCTGATCAATGATTATAATATAAAGCAACATTTTACGAAAACTGTATCACCCAAATTCTTTTTCTGTTATTTTCATTGCCTAAAAACTTCAAGAATTTCAGCAAATGTGATATGAGAAACTCTGGACCAGGATAATTTAACTTGTTTACAACTTAAGAAAAAAAAAAGTTATTGCTATGGTAAAACACAGAAACCCATGTGCACAAACCAAGAGTACCCAAAGTATATACAGAATGCTATGAAGAAATCCAGAAACCCTTATGCATAAACACAAGAGCATCCAAATACACATAGGTAAGTATATTAATTCCTTCATGCTACTTAACCAAAAAGGATTTTCCCTGAACATTTCCAAATACAACTTCTTTCTGGGAAAAGAAAAATACTACAATTTTTCCCCCCAAAAAAAGACCTCATTGACCAAATGATTTGGAACACCATATAGTATCCAAACTCCAAAGCTTGTGACATACAATATATAAATTTATCAATTCAATCATTAATGAAAAAGATAAAACACAATACACTCATCAATCCTGATTTCCTAAATCAACAGTAGAAATAATATAAACAATCCATTTGAAGATGTCAGAAAAGGGGAATCATAGCTGTTGTTTTGGTTTTCTAGAGTGTTAATACAGATAAATCTTTTACTACAGCTACTAACATCTCCAGCTTTATTGTATGTCTCATTAACAACTTGTGGATTTAACTCAACAATCATAAATCTTCCAGGCCACACCAGGCTTTTCCATTCTCCTTCCAGAGCTTTTGGAAGACTATAAAATACTCAGTAACATAGATAGACAGATGATAGATAGATATAGACAGACAGACAGATACAGACATACAGAGACACACAAAACCACAGTATGAATTCTGGCAATTGTTTTCAGTAATAAATGTCTAATGTCCGGTTATCAAAGTACTATATCTCCAAATGTGATCTACTAAAGACCTAGAAGAGTAACACCTGGATTCAGGTTTAAAGAACAGATTCCTGGGGCTCACCCCAAATTTAAGGAATCAGAATTCTTAAATGTAGAGCCAGGGAATCAGAAATTTTAATAAGCACCCCCAGAAGACGCTTATACTCACTAAATCTTAAGATACTGACAAAACCCTATAGTAGACAGTAACTCTTCTACCATTTTCACAAAATTTGTAATATTCATCATCAGCTGAGGTAGTATGAGGGAGAAAAGGAAGATTAACATATATATGCTTGTGTGTGGATATGTTTTAAAGAAAAAATATAGAATTAAACATGTATAACGAAATATAAACTGGGCT